ATTCGAAATTTACGCCAAAGTCACCTAACTTCACAAACCCAGTAATACAATATATATAAATATATATATAAAAATATAAGATCAAGATCACACTAATAGGCTCAGTCGACCCTGAGATAAATCGACTCACACCGGAATCGTTCGGCAAAAGTCGGAATTCAAGATGGCGACATTTCAACGTCCGATTTGCGGGCGTCACCTTCGCCGCACAGCGTCTCTGCCCGTGTACGGTTCGCCAAGCCGCCATCTTGCACGAGTGACGCGTCGACGTAAGCGTGTCGCCGCGTGGCGTCGCGACAGTCGTAGGTCGCAGACGTCTGCTTGCAGACGAGCGCGAGAATGGCGGCGCGAAACTGTCTGTTCTGCCAGACGTAGATGAACGGGTTGGCGAGCGAGTTGAGCACGAGCAGCACGGAGCGCACGTTCCTCAGCCAGCCGTACGGCTCGTGCGAGCCGCGCGCGTGGATCGCCACCATGTAAACCATGTGCGGTAACATGCACGTCACCGCCAGGCTGATGATGATCACCGTCATCTGCGTCGTTCTCGATTTGAACGGAGATGGCGCCACGGTCGCGCCTCCCGCGTGCTGATGGGCGACGCGCGCGAGACTCAGACGCAGTATGGCGACGTAGGTGTACACCATGACGAGCAGCACGACGACGTAGTTGGCGACGAGGAAGTACACGATGCGTGTCTTCCGGCAGAATCCAATCCTGCTTGCACTCGTGGTGCTCGTGCTTCTCCCGACGGGCGACCAGCAGCGCCACCGCTACGCACGTCGTCGCCGCGCCGTACGTCCAGCTGAACGCGATCAGCCGACGCGCCACGCGACGCGTCAGCCGCGTCTTGTACAGCACAGGCCGCGTGACGGCGAAGAAGCGGTCGGCAGTGATGAGCACGAGCGACGTCATCGTCGACGCGACGGCGAACACGACGACGGCCGTCGTGAATACGCACGACGCTCGACTGTGATGCTGCTCTCCGAGCGTCATCATCAGCAGCCTTACGACGAAGTAGACCGCGCCAAAGAGCGCGTCGGCGCCGGCAAGGCTGGCGACGAAGCGCGTCGTGTTCGTCTGCAACTTGGCGGTGCGCGCTGTGGCGACGACGACGACGACGATGCCGTTCATGACGCAGGAGGAGGAGGAGAGGGCGAGCATGAGGAGATTGAAGGCTAGCGCCTCCTGGCGGCCGGCGCCCGCGTTGCTGGCACCGCCCGCCATGTGGGTGACGTTCATGCTGCTGCTGCTGCTGCTGCTTCTGCTGACGATGATGCTGATGCCGATGATGGTGGTTGTGGTGGTGACAGTGGCGGCGGCGGCGGCGGCGGTGGCGGTGGTGGTGATTGATGATGAGTGGTGGTTGTGGGTGATGAGTTTAATGTGGTGTGCTTGTTGTTATTGTTATATGTTGTTCGATTTTATTTATTATATTTTTTTTTTATTTTTAGTTGTTAGTGTGGTTATTGTTATGTTTCGTCCTCCTTGTCTCACTTTCTTTATTTCGTTTTTTCTTCTTGTCCAAACTTCCTATTATGCAATATTCTTACTTTGTTCGGATTCCTTGAATATCACGTTGATTTATACACACAGAGATGCCCTTATCGATGCCACATCACGGTATGACGTCACGGCAGCCGCCCTTCGTACCGCCGACGGCTTATGCCAGCAACACTTCCCCACTTGCGCCTGCATCTCAGGGACTCTTTCTAGCTCTCGTC